GGTCTTTAATTCCTTTTCAGTTTATTTTTGTATATGGTGTAAGAAAGTGATCTGGGGGTGCCTGGGTGGCTCAGTTGGTTAAGCAACTGCCTTCGGCTCAGGTCATGATCCTGGAGTCCCGGGATCAAGTCCTGCATCGGGCTCCCTGCTCAGCAGGGAGTCTGCTTCTCCCTCTCCCCCCGTCTTGTGTGCTCTCTCTCTCTCATTCTCTCTCTCAAATAAATAAATAAAATCTTTAAAAAAAAAAAGAAAAAAAAAGAAAGTGATCCAGATTCATTCTTCTGCATGTAGCTGTCCAGTTTCCCCAACACCATTTGTTGAAGAGACTGTCTTTTCCTCATTGTATATTTTTGCTTCTCTTGTCTTAGATTAATTGACCATGTAGCAATGAGTTTACTTCTGGACTCTCTATTATAGTCCATTGATCTATATGTCTGTTTTTGTGGCAGTACCATACTGTTTTGATTACTTTAGCTTTGTAGTATATCTTGAAATCTGGGATTGTGATTTCTCCAGCTTTGTTCTTTCTCAAGATTGTTGGCTATTTGAGGTCTTTTGTGGTTCCATATAAATTTTAGAATTCTTTGTTCTAGTGCTGTGAAAAATGCTGTTGATATTTTGATAGGGATTGTATTGAATCTGTAGATTGCTTTGGGTAGTATGGACATTTTAACAACATTAATTCTTCTAATCCACGAGGATGGTATATCTTTCCATTGTTCATGTTATCTTCAATTTCTCTTATCAATGTCTTATAGTTTTCAGAGTACAGGTCTTTTCTTCCTTGGTTAAGTTTATTCCTAGGTTTTTTGGGGGCGGTTATAATTTTAAATGGGATTATTTTTTAAATTTGTCTTTCTACTGCTTTATTATTAGTGTATGTAGAGAGAGACTCAACTTTACTGAATTCATTTATTACTCTTAATAGTTTTTTGGTGGAGTCTTTAGGATTTTCTATGTATAGTGTCACGTCATCCACAAATAGTAAGTTTTACTTCTTCCCTACCAACTCAATTGCCTTTTATTTCTTTTTCTCGTCTGATTGTTGTGGCTAGCACTTCCAGTACATGATGTTGAGTAAAAGTTTTCAGAGTGGACATCATTGTCTTTTTCTTAAACTTAGAGAAAAAGCTCTCAGTTTTTCACCTTAGCAATCTATGTTTTAACAAGCCCTCCAGGCAGTTCTGATGCATGTTAAGGTTTGAGAACCACTGGTTTAGACAGTTCTGAATTTATTGATTTAGGCCATCCATTATCTTTCAAATCTTTTTTTTTTAAATTTTATTTATTTATTTGACAGAGAGAGACACAGCGAGAGAGGGAACACAAGCAGAGGGAGTGGGAAAGGGAGAAGCAGGCTCTCCACTGAGCAGGGAGCCCGATGTGGGGCTCGCTCCCAGGACCCTGGGATCATGACCTGAGCCGAAGGCAGATGCCTAACGACTGAGCCACCCAGGTGCCCTCCATTTATCTTTCAATTAATTGATTAAGTAATTGATTCTAGTCACATTATTGAACTCCTGCTAGGTGCTAAACACTGAGGATATGATGATAAGACACTGTTTCTGCTTGCTTTGTTTGTTTATAGAAAGAGAGAGTGCAAGCAGGGGGAGGGGTGGAGGGAGAGAGAGAGAATATCCAGCAGACTCCCCCCGGAGCGTGAAGCCAGATGCAGGGCCTGATCTCACCACCCTGACATCATGACCTGAGCCGAAATCCAGAGTCAGACACCCAACTGACTGAACCACTCAGGTGCCCCACTATTTCTGCTCTAAATGATAAAACGTGGTTTCTGTGCTCACTGGATCACTAAGTATTTTTAGAAAAGCTGCACGTGAACAGGTTATAAAAGGATATATATGCAAAAATGTAGTTGTGAATAGTTATTGTGGGGGCCCAGAGGCAGAGCACAGAACACAGAAATTCATCCTAAAACTGGAACAGTGTAAGCAGTAGTTCCGCCTTTAGGAGAGACCCTTACTCTCAATAGGCTTTCAATAACAGCTTGTTGTACCAGTTGGGGTTCAATCAGAAAAAGAGACCACTCACTAGAGATTTGTTATAGGGATTTGACCAGATACAATTGTGGGGGCTGGTTTCACAGTCTGTGAGGCTGTTGTCTTTGTGCCTGTTGATAGAACCCAAAGTCAGTAGGATGTGCTGGAACCTGCATCAGTCCTCACTGCCTGCAAATCTCCAAGCTCAATGATGTGAGTGACCAGCAGAGGATGGTGTAAATGTACATTGGCCCAGCAGTTGGAGGTAAATGTACATTGGCCCAGCAGTTGGAGTTGCTAAAGCAGGATCAGGTGAGAACCGGAGGAGCTATGGGCCCAACTCTTGCTCCAGCCCAATAGGCAAGATCAGTATCATACAAGTATGTGAGCTGCAAGAGAGCCTGGAACCCTGCAGCGACCTTTCAAACATAAACAATGTGGCTGTGACTTCACTTTTGTCTTCCAAATCTCATGCAAGATGTTTCTTGTGGTTTGCACACCTAGAGTTATGCAAGGAAGGGAATTCAGGGATATGCAGTTTTAGTTATTTGTTACTGTGTAACAAACTACCCCCAAACCCTTAGATGAAAACAGTAACAATAATTTGTGTAGCTCAGGAACATACAGTTTGGGCAGGGCTCAGCGAGGACAGTTTATCTGTGTTCCAAATGGTGTCAGCCAGAGTGGCTCCAGAAACTGATCAGGGGCTGGCCGGGGACTGGAATCACCTGAAGGCTCCATCACCCTTTGTCTATGATTGATGCTAGCTGTCAGCTGGAACAGTCAACTCTCTGTGCGGTTTCTCTGGCATGGCAGCTTCATGGTAGCCAGGCTTTTTATTGGAGATTCAGGGTTCCAAAGATACAGGACTTAAGAGAGAGGGAGAGGGAGGCAAAGTGGGAGAGGGAGAGAGACAGATAAGCAGACGGAGTTTCTATTTTGGTTGTCATTTATTAGCTATGCCACTTGAAGCGGGTCATTTATTTTCTCTGAACCTCAGTTCTCAAGTTTTAAAAATCAGAACTTATTTTGGGGTTGCCCAGAAGAAGACTCCGAGGCAATAATTTGAGTGAAAGTAGTTTATTTAGGAGTTAATCCCAAGAAATATCAGAAGGGAGCTGAGACGTGTACAGGGAAAGAAGGAAGCTGGTAAAAGTTAATCAAGCAAGTTACCACTGTGGGCAACTGGAGCTTAAAACCTCTAGGGAAACCTGGGGAAACACTATAGAATCTATGTTACAGAGCTATCTCATCCAAGGGTTGAGGAGCTGGGATATTTTTTTTTTTTTTAAGATTTTCTTTATTTATTCATGAGAGACAGAGAGAGAGAGGCAGAGGGAGAAGCAGGCTCCCAAGGAGCAGAGAGCCCGATGTGGGACTCGATCCCAGGACCCTGGGATCATGACCTGAGCCGAAGGCAGACGCTTAACCATCTGAGCCACCCAGGCGCCCGAAGCTGGGATATTTATACGTCAACTCCCATCAGTCATTGGTTGAAGACTCTGGAGAACATTAATTCCTCAGCACCTTTGGTGTGCTGAGATCTATGCAAGTGGGAAAAACCCTCAAAGAGATACAGGTGCTGCTGGAGGAAAATTAACAGGTTTGCATTGAAAATGATAAGAGCTTAAGGGATATGAACAGGGCACCCATGGGGTTTGCTACAGAGTATAGGTAGCTGAGTAATTGAAATGAGATGATACACAAAGAAATCCACTCCTGGCGTGATGGTGCCTGTTCTTGCTTTGGAACACGCCACTGCAGGATTGAAGGGAGGCCCTGAGGTCCAGGAGATTTCAATGCTCACATCAGGAGACGCTGCCAATTTCCTGAAAGGCAGTCTTAAGAAATGGCAGTAGTATTAGTGGATTACCCACCCCCCTCAATGGACTTCAGGGTTAATAACCTGTCACCCTATGGGAGTGCAGACCTCCCTGGTGGTTCCTCATAACTGAGTCTTATCTACACAAGGCTTGCTACCTTGGCTAATCTTGCTCAAGGTCCAACCCTTGCAGATCACTGCCCCTTACCCCCCAAATGTTCTGGAACTCACCATCTGGTGACATTATCCAAGGACGGTTGCAAACCCATGTTATTAGGATATTGGATTCATAAATCTGTAGTCATTTGATAGATGTCTGCACATCTCTTAAGGTTTTTGAGCAGAGGAGTGACATAATCCAATCTTTGGGAAGATTCTGGTGTGCAGGATTAAAAGACACCAAAGAGGGAAAAGCAGAGTCTGTGTGTGTATGTGTGAAGTTATTACAACTACCCATTTTGAGCCACGCGGGATGGGAGGAACTGACTTGGCAAGAAGCGCTGTGCATGTAAAGGGACCGATGTGAAAGGGGCAAATCTTGGTGTCTCATAATGAAGTAAGCAATGGCCTGGTATCGCAAGACTCCGGTCCCCAGGCACGAGGCCACGGCCACCTTTGCAATGTTCCTCGCGTCTTTCCTCACGTGTAAGGGAGCACCTCGCAGGGTTACAGCTGGGAGCGAGAGGAATGCCCCGGCTGCGCGCTCAGCACCGAGTCCACAACAGGGTAAGCGCGCTAATCCCATCTTCTCCTCTATCAGTAAAAGGCGGGGGAGATAATGCCATCTACATCCAGGGTTTGCCTTAAGTACTGAGGCTAAGTACCGGGCATGCAGTAGGCACCCAACCCCAGCCCGTCGCCTCCCCGACGCGCACACCAGTGGAGAGAACGCACGGACACTACGGTGGAAGGGGAGCTCCCGCGCTTGGCTCCCAGGCCGCCCCCGGCACGCGCTCCCCCCCGCCGCGCGCTGTTGCCGGGGCCCGAGCACCGCCCTACCCCAGCGCGGGCCAATGGCAGCGCGGCCCGGGCACCGCCCAGCTCCAGCGCGGGCCAATGGCGGCGCCTCAGGGGCACCGCCCTGATCCTGCGCGGGCCAATAGCGGCGAGACCCGGCGCGGGAGCCGCCCCCGGCCGGGTGGGGAGGCGGGGAGACGGCCACCGACTCCGCCCCTCTCCCCTCTGACCCGGTGTCTCGTCTCTCCGTCTTCCTGTTCCAAACCACGTGGACGCGCCGGGGGCTGCGGGGCTACGGGAGAGAGCCCGGGTCGCCACCGCCGCTGTCGCCGCCGCCGCCGGGGTCGCGACCCCCGCGCCCGTCCGAAGTCGCCGCGCCCCGGCCGCCCGCGCCTTTGCGGAGGGCGCGCACATGGCGACCCAGGCGCACTCCCTCAGCTACGCGGGCTGCAACTTCTTGCGCCAGCGACTGGTCCTGTCCACCCTGAGTGGGCGCCCCGTCAAAATCCGGAAGATTCGGGCCAGAGACGACAACCCGGGCCTCCGAGGTAACTCGGGGCGGGCAGCGCGCGGGGGGGCCGCGGGGGCCGCGGGGGTGCGGCGCCGATGCCCTGGGGGCGGCGCGCGGGGAGCCAGTGCGTCTCGCGGGCGCGCCGGGGAGGCCGAGCGCCGCGTCGCCCCCGCACCCGAGCGCGCCTGGACTGGGGCGGGGTCGGGCCCGAGGGGTGTGCTCAGCTGCGCGCTGCGCTGGCGTCTCCCGGGCGCTGCTAGTAAACAGCTACACGTTTTCCAGCCCTGCGTGTCGCCGCAGACCTCGGGCATCGCCCCCTCGCCTGCCTTCAGTCCTCTTGCTCACGCCGTGAGCCTCTCAAAGGAGAAAGGCAGTTTGCTGGACCGGAATGTGGTGATTGGGCAGGTATAAGATGCAGAGAGGTTTGGAGAGAAAAGTGCCACTGTTTGGTTCCGTGCCCTAGCCCAAAACACGTCTCAGAAGCAGCTGCCCCCCCGGACATCGGCTGTCCCTGTCGCCATGATTTCTCAGCTGCCCTCACACCTCTCCTTGGGTGTGGATTAAAGAAAAAATTAAAATTTTGTGTTTGTTTTTAGCCGTAACTGGGATGTGCGCAGGACAGAAGCTTTGTGATAATTTTTTTTTTTAAGTCATGGGCCTAATTGCCTTGACTTCAGTCAGATTTGACGACAAGCGCTAAGCTACTTTTTTGCCCGACACAGGTGGATTGATGAAAAAACAGGCCCTGTTTAAACTCACATCAAGTTAAGTGGTGCCGATTTTCAGCTGGTCCCCTGGAATAAGACACATGCATTTGAAAGCTTCTGTCTGGTTATCCCAGATTGGGAGATTCACTCAAAGGAAAAAAGGGAAAACCTATCTGCAAATTGAAGGAGAGGGTTTGTGGTTGGTCTTGGAAGCTATGTCGGTCCTGTTGAACTGTTTACTTTTGCACCGACTTCTGTACTAGGTGGCTGGCCCATTTCATCATCTGTCTGCGTGTTCTGGAGGGTTACGTCTCTGCCTCTCTCGAATGGTGGGTGATTGGTTGCACATAAAGGGAAAACGCAATGTCATTGATGGAGATAGACCGTTGGGAAAGAAAGACCCTCCGTACCTGGTGACCATGGGAAGGGCTTGTGTTGGTACATGATTCTTCTCTCTACCGCTCAGAAACACTGAGAACATTGAGGAGGGACCCCTAGCATGGTTTCTGCCAGGTGTTCTCAACATCTGTCCTTATTTTGAATCGGCGTGGGCAAAGCAGTTGCTTGATTGCTCTGCTCTGTGGCATTCTCAGCCAGCTCTCCGCTTTACCTCCAGTTTACTCTAGGGAATTTGCCACTAGCTAGATATGGTGAAGACAGGCTTCTGCTTCTGTGAACAGTGGGCATAGGTTTTTTTGTCGTTTGTTTTTTATTTTTTATTTTTTTTTAAAAGATTTTATTTATTTATTTGAAGAGAGAGACATAGTGAGAGCAGGAACACAAGCAGGGGGAGTGGGAGAGGGAGAAGCAGACTTCCCGCGGAGCAGGGAGCCCGATGTGGGACTCGATCCCAGGACCCTGGGATCATGACCTGAGCCGAAGGCAGACGCTTAACAACTGAGCCACCCAGGCACCCTGTCGTTTGTTTTTAAATAGCAATAGAAGTCCTTTGGCCTGGAAACCTGGGATTTTCGTGGGAAATATAGTGCTTGTAAGATACAATTTAGTGTTTGTCTTTTGACAGGTGGCCTCCAGACTAATATTTAATGTTCCGAAGGATGCGTACCCCTCCCTCCCTACCGTCCGCTGTTTGTGAACATTTCTTCACTCTCATTTCTTCCAACAGGGCTTGGTCACTTGGCACTTTCCTGAAAGGATACCAAGCTCCACTGCTTGGGGGAGGTAGTGCTCTTTGGCAGATGTGTTGGTATTTTATGGGGAGCACTACGTGGAGCATTGTTTGCTTTACCTTATTAATACACCAAGGGAAAAAACAGAGGCTCCTGACTTAGATTTCCTTGTGATGGTTTCAGGTCCTCAGAAATCTTGTAGATGTTCACTTAATTTCTTCAAGAGGGGGGCACCTGGGTGGCTCAGTCGGTTAAGCGTCTGCCTTTGGCTCAGGTCATGATCCCAGGGTCCTGGAATGGAGCCCCGAGTCCGGCTCCCTGCTCAGTGGTTGTGTATCAGGGGCTACATGTATTTATATACGTAAATATGCACGTGTGTGTATGTATATGTGTATATACACATACGTGTGTGTATCTATGAATGCATATATATACACACAAATATCTCAGTTCCCTCGAAGAAATTTTTTTTATTTTTTATTTTTTAAATTTTATTTATTTTTTAAAGATTTTATTTATTTATTTGAGACAGAGAGAAAGAGAGAGAGAGCACATGAGAGGGGGGAGGGTCAGAAGCAGAAGCAGGCTCCCTGCCGAGCAGGGAGCCCGATGCGGGACTCGATCCAGGGACTCCAGGATCATGACCTGAGCCGAAGGCAGTCGCTTAACCAACTGAGCCACCCAGGCGCCCCGAAGAAATTTTTTTTAAAAGATTTTATTTATTTGTCAGAGAGAGCGCGAGCAGGCGCGCACAAGCAGGGGGAGCTGCAGGCAGAGGGAGAATCGGGGAGCCCGATGCAGGACTCCATCCCAGGACTCTGGGATCAACCGTGATTCTGGCAGCCACCATCGCATCTGTCCAGACCAGAAGCAGACCCAGAAAGTCTTCCTTCATAACCCCCAGGGGTTATGTGGTCATAGTCAAGCGAGTCCTTGGTAGTTTGATTAAAGATGTATCCAGGAGGCTGTGCTGCCAGTCATCTCTCCCTTTCTGACTCTTTTCTGACTCAGATTCTGAGAATTGGAAAAGACTCAGAGCATATCCAATAAAATCTTCAGCTTAAGTATAAAAATTGCATCTCTCGAAGGTGCTTGCTTAATCATCCCTCCTGGTGTGGGCTCTGGAGGGTGGGGGGTGTGGAGGCCTTTTGCCTCAGGGGCAGTGGTTTAGAAAAGGTTCCTGAGCCCCAGTGTGTGCAAGGCTTTGTGGGAATGTAAACACGAGAGGCTGGTTGCCCCACTTCTGGAGGAGCTTTCCGAGTAGGAAGTGCTTGACAGAGTAGCTTGAGTAACGTCAAGTAGGAAGAGCTGAATGTTGTAAACGGACTCAGGGGAGTTAGGGCAGAGGCTTCCCTGGGGGTTATGAAGGAAAACTTTCTGGGTCTGCTTCTGGTCTGGACAGATGCGATGGTGGCTGCCAGAATCACGGTTGGTGAAAGGAACAGCTTGTAAGTCAAAGAGTTCTTTATTTATTATGTTGAAGTAAAATCCTGAATTTGTTGTGGTTGTAGTAGCTTGGTGGTTAAGAGCTTGGTCTCAGAGTTAGACCTTGGTTTGAGTCCTGCTTCTGCTTTTGCTATTAGCTCTTGGACCTTAGGCAAATTCTTTAACATTTCTGAGCCTCCGTTTTTTCATCTATAAAGTGAGGCCAACATCACCAGCTTCATTGGGTTATTGTAAAGATTAAATAAAATAATACGGGCGCCTGGGTGGCTCAGTTGGTTAAGCGACTGCCTTTGGCTCAGGTCATGATCCTGGAGTCCCGGGATCGAATCCTGCATCAGGCTCCCTGCTTGGCAGGGAGTCTGCTTCTTCCTCTGACCCTCCCCCCCTCATGCTCTTTCTCTCTCTCAAATAAATAAATAAAATCTTAAAAAAAAAAAATAATACTTAAAGTACACAGAACAGTGCCAGGCATGTAGGAAAAATAAACGTTAGCTGGTTTTGGGGCGCCTGGGTGGCTCTTTTGGTTAAGCGTCCAACTCTTGATTTCGGCTCAGGTCATGATCTCAGAGTTCTGAGACTGAGCCCTGCATCTCTGGCTCTATGCTCAGCAGGGAGTTTGCTTCTCCCCTTCTCCCCCCTCCCCCGCCGTGCACTCTCTCTCTCTCAAATAAAAAATAAATAAATCTTTTAAAAATGATGTTAGTTGGTTTTATTATTATGTAACTTCTACCTGCGAGTATAATTCTGCTCTCTGGCGTCCGAAATCTGTTCCTGCTTCTTTTTTAGATTTTTTTAAAAAGATTTATTTATTTATTTATTTATTTATTTGAGAGAAAGAGAGAGAGCGAGCGTACAGAGGGAGAGTGAGAGGGAGCAGCAGACTCCCCGCTGAGCAGAGAGCTGGATCACAAGACCCTGAAGTCATGACCTGAGCCGAAGGCAGACACTTAACCGACTGAGCCACCCAGGAGCCCCTGTTCCTGCTTCTATCTGGAAACTTTTCACATATTTAAAGAGAATTATGCCTTCTTTTTGTCCTCTCTTTTCAGTCTAAAGTTTTCCTTTTGGGTTATGTCTTCCAAATATTTGTGTGTATTATGTATAAGGTAGTGGTTTTCACACAAGGCAGTTTTGCTCCCCTGGGGGACATTTGGCAGTTTTTGGAGATATTTTTGGTGGTTACAACTGGGAGGCTGCTCCTGGCATCTGGTGGGTAGAGCCCAGGGATACCAATAAACATCCTGCAATGCACCATACAACTTCCTCACACAAAGACTGCTTCTGCCCAAAATGTCAATAGTGTGGATGTTGAAACCCCTGGCATATGAGATTAATTATGCCTTTTTTTTCTTTTCTTTTCCCCATATCTCCAGTGGTTGGGGATAGCAGTGTGTGGACCAAGAAAGCTGCACAGGGATTCAGAAGGGGATGAGACACAGGTCAAACTCTGTGACTTCAGGCAGACAAGCTAATCTCTTAAATAAAACTGCCTCCTTCCAGTGCAGATTGTGTATAATGAGAAGATTTTGAACCCCAAAGAAAGATGATCTTGGAATGGTTTTTACTAATTACACAACCACATGTGTAGTTTTTGCTTCATTCTGAGAAACACAGACAACTATGTTTCATTCTACTCTTGCTGTTCAGTGAGGAGGAAGTAAATACTTTGTTCTGCTGCTGTGTTCCTGCAGGTAGAGAGCCAAGGCATGGTTAGGTGAGGTAGCTGGCAAAGTTGGAGTCCACTGAGTGGCAGA